ATGCAGAAAGCATGAAAGTGATGCATGAAAGGGCCATGTCTCACATGACGGCAGATCCTACCACCTGGATTGCTGTAACACCAGTTGTCTACCACTATAAAGCAGCACTTACTTGATTTACTTATTGAAACAAACAGGAGGCATTCCCTGTCTTAAAGACACAAGTTAAGTGTGAGACAAAGCCAACAGGATAAAGCAGACAGCTGGAGAACCTAAATGAAGCAATACTTAACAAGCCTTTCAGCTGCCCTGAAAATCTTAGTTTATCAAAACCTGTATGTCTACAGTTTATATGATGCATAACTTCACACCAGCAGTTCTCACTCAGTACCTTGTTACAGAGCTCTGACAGATTAACACAGCAGCTCTGTACTAACCCCTCCGGAGCAATGGGAAGTTGTCCTAGAACACAGGCAGTATCTTTCAGGGCCTGCAGAGATACCTTGAAAAAAATGCAGAGCTTTAAGCTTTCAAAGCTGTTGTATGACACATCTAAAATGACTAGCACCATCGAGCAAGAAAGCAGACACAGCCTCTACAAACTAGTTTTCAGGCTGTAACCCTTGGCTATCTCTGCATAAAGCACCCAGAGAAGCCATCTTATTCACAAACTATTGCCACTCAGTTGCAGGGAGCTCTCCACCTGTTTTAGGGTTCTTCTGTTGTGGAATGCTACACAAACAAAGCAGTGGCATAGACAACATGGAGACAACAAAGGCATGCAAAAAGTGTCTGCACTGCATGGACAGAGCCCAGCTTTTCAAAGAAACAGAAGGAAAAAACCACTTCTAACAGCAAACAGCATTAGTGACTTCTCAGGAGCCAGGTGCAAAGGATATTCATCGACATCTGAAAAACAAAGGCTCATTATGTACTTTAGGTATTTGCCAGTTCTTACATGTAATCCCTGAGAACATGCTGCTCTGATTTGCTAAGAGCTTCAGGCCACAGTTCCATTCTGCTTTATGTGACCCATACACCTTTGGTCACCACACTAAAGGCCAAAGCACTGAGATATGCCCAACACTTACAAAAACTTAACAGAAAAACAATGTTAAAATTAAGGAAACAATACATTCGCCTTCCTACCCCCCAGTAGCCAAAATAACACAGATGTTACAAAGAGCATAAGAAGTTATCATGGGAGTTTGATTTTATAGGAAAATAGTTTCCTCACAGAAAAATCCTGCTCCATGACAGCAGGTAATGGAAAAAAAAAAAAAAATAGCTCCAGTCCTTAAAACATTTGTTTCCATACTCAGTGAAAATGGAGAGGTTTACCATCCATGTGGTACATACAAGGGATAAAGACAGAAGGAATAAGAGGTTGTTTATTGGGCAGTAAATCATTCAATGATGTGAGGGGTTTCCATGGAACCAGCTCATTTTCAGAACTGAGACCATCCTGCTCTACATCAAGTGGCAGAATTACAGGAAATGTTTTTTCAAATTATGATACTTTCATGAAAGCTCATTTTGAGGCATTTTAACTGGGACTCAGAGCTAAATTTAAAATGCTTTTCAAAAGAGTGGTTGGGTTTTTTTTCCCCTGCATTTTCCTGTACCACACAAAAGCATACATTGCAAAAATCATGGTTTAGGGTAGTAAGATTAGCTTTTTGAAACTATCATTTAACAAGATTCAATTTTGCTTTCTCAGTGGTATGTCAAAGAAACACAGTATCTGAAGCATGTGACATTAAATCTCCTAAACAGTATTAGAGGTAAGAAAGTACAAATGATACAGTAAGAAAAAATAAAACCCTATCAATTAAAGGGATTTTTTTAGAAGTTATTAAAACACCCTGGCCATTTATACAGCTAAGAATTCATGAGGGGTTTGACTTCACTGAGAATATGCTTTTAGGACAAGGACATCAATTTCCCGGAATTAATAGCTCGTAGAACCTAGCAAGGATACAACTGCAGCGACAGGACATTTCAGTGGCAGAAGAGGCGAGCCAAGTCATGAGGCTGAACCCGCAGGGGTTGGGGCTCTCCTAAGTTTAAGAGCACTTGCAGGCAGACAACTGCCCACCTGAGGAAACATGAGGGTAGGTGCCTGGGGCACTGTGCCCCACCAGAAGGAGACATTCAAGCAGCACGGCCTTCAGCACAGCAGTATGGATTTCTCGGACTGCAGTGAGCAATCCATGCAACAGAAACTGTCACACAGAGCCAGCCGTGACATGCCTCCCTCATACCCTGCAGCTGGGGTACAGAGCTGTGAACGTCCATACAGCAGGCCAGCTCGTTCCTGTGGTTTTTTTACTTTGCGAACAGCACGATTTCATTCTTATGTAGGCTGATGCTCAGACAGGCTCTATTCATCATCACCCCCACCTCTGAGAAACAAAAGCAGGACTGCAGAAACTGGGTTAGCTGAAAATTAGATCTAAATCATATCAAGATCAGCACAAAACAGCCTCCTCTGGCAAATGTTCACACAGCACAAACTGATCTCATGGGATTCTCAAGCGAGGAATAACATTTGTTGGGAACTGTAGCAAAAGACTCTCTTTTTAATGGAAAAACATCATTTGCTTGTGAAATGCCGAGAGTTATGCAAGATTCTTATTGCAGAGGTGATGAAAATATTCATTGACAATTTTAGGCCACCACTAAAAAAAGATGCTATAATCCAAAGGACAAGATCAAAACAAGACTGTTTCACCCAATTTCTCAAAGGTCAAAAGAAAAGGAAAAACACATCAATATATACATTCACCAGATTGACGTAGTAGTGATTACAGAAGCAGATTTGACAGGAGAAGATCAAGCACGGTTTTCCCAGCAGCAGAGTTTCTCAACTGAGCAGTTTGATTTTAGCGGTTTGCAGTAGCAACACTGTAATAGCTGGCATAAAATTAAGCACAACTTCAAGTGGTACAGTCCTGAGTAACAAAACAATCCAAATTACTAATAGATTACATGACTGTGTGTAAAAGAAAAAAAACCATACCGCATTACACTCTGTGTAAAGTACTCTGCACGCGTGAGGTCCTGCCATTTAAATAACTGCCTGGCTATTGGGTGGAATTCAACAGTCATTACATTTTGGATGACTGGGGTAGAAAGAAAAAGTGTCACGAACGCACCGATTGACAGTAGACTTTTATTAACATATCTTACAATGTCGATTACTGTATTCCTAGTTGTATAGTCTTCTGATGTGTTAGAAAGATTGATTTAGATTCTACAGTAATGTACTGTACTTAACCGATCATTCATACAGGATACCACACCAGAACATTTGAGTAATACACGCACACACCACTCTAGTTTGGACCTGTTATTTTTCAAGGTTAGCTTAATAAAGTAGGATTAAAAAAAGTTATAGGGGAAATCAAAATTCTTGTTTAGCAGCATGCAAGGATATTCAAGTACAATTTTTCAACCAAGTGATTTTGTTGTTGTTGTTGTTTTTAATTCGACTGATGACTAATTCACCAGTACTGAAATAAACACTATGAAATACCCAAATGTTAAAGTTAAGGCTAATAGTTTTACTTCACGTCCATATGCACAACCAGAGAACATTCCATTTTAAATAAAACACAGTAATCAAATTCTGGATACATTGTCTCTTGTAAATACAGCATCGGAGCTTCAAACTACAGATTACTCAAATTCATGAGCCCTGTATTAATGTTACGCTGGAGATGTAAAGAATCTTCTTGCTCTTTAACCACACTTACAAAATGGCCTGATACTCATAATGAGCAATGCAAAAATATTACAGGGAGAATTTATAATACAGTATCAAAAAGTAATATTTTGGAAAAGACATAGCCATTTAGTTGGTGAAACAGAGTAATTCTAATCTTACAGGAAGTACTGTAATACTTTTGAAATATTTATATATATTTATATGCATGTAGAAAAACCAACATCCTTTATTGTGGGGGTTTTTGAATTTCAGGTATCCAGAAAAACTCATTGTATTTACTTACTTTTTCTTCTGTCTGTTCTCCTTGATTGCTATACAGTCCTTTTATTTCCCCTATACACTTTTCATTAGATAATGACTTCCACTGGGCAACTGGTTTCGTTGTATACGTGGTTTTATCATAAGATGTTTTTATTTTACACATATAAATTTTATTTTACACACAAGCTATGAAAGTCAAAACTACCAGAAACTGCTTGGTAGTACTGTATGAAATAGCCAACAAATGTCCAACACTTGTGAAAAACATTAGTAGCAATATATTACATACCAGTATTTTACCTAGAATCTTTCCTACCTACTTATACTGTGGGGTTTAGACCACTCATGCCAGTCTCATGACTTTTTTTAGCCCTCTAAGCATGACCTGTTCTGGCATTCATCCAGCGAGGCTGCACATGCCTTGGTTGTTCATCTAGGCTATCTCTGTCGAATTCTTTTTCCTTTTTAGGAAACCAAGCAGAAAGAACAGTGATTACTCTAAACAAATACAATATAGAGGAACCTCCTGAAATGACAGGAAAGATAGAAAATTATGCTTCATTTCCAGATTAGCCTGCACATTTCCCATCCAATAATTCCGAAACATACATCTGGTTCAAAGTGATAGGTGGGCTTATGGTTGTTATGATTGTAATGGGGATCTGCTATGCTGGGTGCCATACAAATTCTCTGTGTACAGCAATTTCTGTATGTGTTACCACTACCAGTTCACGCAATTGATATGAAAAAACCCTCCTCCATTCTGGAAAAAAAAAAGAACGTGTGTTCTGGATTACCTTAGGAGTAGCAAGATAACTAATTTACAGCTATTTCACTTATTTATGGAGAAAAAAAAAAAACATAGGAACTTCCTGAGAATGCATAGGTTTTCAGTAATGCCTGAAATAATGTCTGTCAATAGATCCGTCACGATAAGTGAAATACTCCCTAAAATTCAACTTTCAGACCAATTGTTACCATGCAGTCTCACAATCGTTTTACAAATTCTGCCTAATTACAAATGCATATCAAGCAAAAAACCTCAAACCAACACAAAAGAGGCAAGAAATTTTATCCAACATATTTAGTAGATGTAGTAGACATATACACTGTTTCAGCAAAATTGCTAAAAACTCAACTCCATGCACAGAGAAATAAAACCTGACAGCTATCCTTGGAGCCTCTAAACAACTGTAAAGTAAAATTTGTGCTTCTTAACAATCATGGGCTTTAAAAACAAAAGAAAAATGGACTACTGAGTGCAATCAGATTGCTCACACCATTTTGAGGATTTAATTTCAAATTACTGTATCATTATTTGGTAGCAACAGCAGCTAATTTTGCAACAGTTTCATGTTGACAAAGTTCCATTTCCCTTTCATGCCCATACCCAACTCCACCCCGAGGCGAAGAGCTCAACTCCCATTCGATTAAAGCTATTGTCAGTCAAGGCGCATTCTTTCGCGGTAACAGCACTGACAGGGTGTGCAGATGATGACGATGACTTACAAGCCATTATAATGTGGCCCCCATCTTTTATTGATATGATCAAAAGTATGAGATACCCACTGCTGCTCAAGCACTTTGTATCTTTCCTTGCATATGTAGAGAGGTTTACCACGCCTGTAGGAAAGAAAAAACAAACAAACAAAAAAACCCCCATGATTAATATGTCAAATAAATGGAAAACTGCTTCATTATATAATCAAACATGATACTTGTACAACTTTTTTTCCCCAGGGGAGCATGCGGTTTCATTGCTGAGGGGCTTTCGGTTTTGTTTTTAATAAGATAACTTCTGGGATTTTCCCTCCTTGCTTCTGGATAGCAGAATCCAGAAAACATCACTCCATCCTTGAAGGGTTTCCCAGTGCAACACTCAGAATTGACAGTCATAACATGACATTTAGAAAAAATGTCAGTCCAACTTGCAGTAAATGTGTATTTTTGATCAAGGAAGGCAGAGATGTAATATTTCTTCATGGAGAGGGTGGTGAGGCACTGGAACAGGTTGCCCAGAGAAGCTGTGGATGCCCCATCCCTGGAAGTGTTCAAGGCCAGGCTGGATGAGGCTTTGAGCAACCTGGTCTGGTGCAAGGTGTCCCTGCCCATGGCAGGGGGGTTGGAACTAGATGATCTTTAAGGTCCCTTCCAACCCTAACCATTCTATGATTCTATGAATATTATCTGTTATTGCACATAATGTGTAACAAAGTTGATCTGAATGGAGGAGCAACAATGAAGCACACTTAAAACATTACCTAAGATCTCGGTCTTCTTCACCATGTGCATCTAGATAAACAGAGCCCCAGAGGCAGAAACGGTGGCCTCGTATAATAATGATTACAGATGCATTAATCAAAAGAAATATTCCTGTCCCAGCTCCACAGTTTTGAGAATGCTGTAATGTTATGGGTGTAGAAAGGGAAAAGTAGAAAGATTCTGTTAGTGTCTGTCAGAATTTTAACAAAAATAATTTTAAAAAAATAGAAATTAGTTTTGCTTGAAATAACACACACACCTTACTAAGAAACAGTCTGAAAAAGTATAGCCTGCCCCAAAATTCCCCAAGCAAACACGTCTTGTGCTGCCATAACAACACTTGCACACAAAAATGGTTCCCTGGTCAAAAAGGGAGGCTATTAGTTATCATGTAAAAGCAGAATTCCCTAACAAAAATATTCTCTACAAACTGTATAGCATGACCAAATATTTTTCATAGACAGCAAGAATAATACAAAGTATTCAGAAAAACTTAACATCACCTCTTTTACAACAGTCTCTATTGTTAGAACATTTGCTTTCTCTATCCGTGCTCAGGAGACCTCATCTGTGGCTCTACAAATCTAGTAAAAAAATTTTCTTTTAATAATTTTTGCTTGCTTCAATGTCATTCATCTTTCTGAGTGGCATGATCTGTATTAATCAATTCATTTTAGCAAGTAAAAACATGCTCTTCCTACAATTAGAGGCTATAATCCCATCAACTATAATAAAATTTAATTAATTATATAGATTTTTAATTATTTTTTATAACTTTTGTTTTCAAGAAACTTGCAGCCTTAAATAGAATTGTTAATTCTATTTTAAATTTCACCCACTCCTCCTTCTTCCCACCACATTCGCAGTGAGAGAGAGAAAGGAGAGTTCAAACAATATTATAAAAAGGTCCAAGATCCTTCTGAAATTTGCTTGTGTTTCATTTGATGCTCCATTTGTAGAGGAAATGGAACAGCTGTCAGAGCAAAGCTTTATCATAGACAGGAAAACGATACTAGGTGCTGTCCAACTCAGGTTCCTGAAAGAACTCACATATAGGCTGACTAGAAAACTTTCTGCTGCTGAATCCAAGTCGAAGGCCTTAAAATAATGCTTATTTTGGTACAGTCTGTAGATCACGAGTAGATGGTCAGTTATATCATAAAGTACTCCATAAAAGGAAAAAAACCAAAGCCATACATTGTTCATATATTATTTTCATTTCCTCTGCTTTGTTTCCTTGTTTTCTGTCTACATAAGAATACCAAACAGAATGTAGACAGATTTCAATTGGTTATGAATCAAAACCATGTGCCAACATTATGCATATTGGCTCTGTAATAGTTTTTCAGACAGGTGAACTAGGTTATGGGCTTCAAAAGATTAATAAAATTGTTGTCTAGGTCCATCTATCAGAAATAAGCACTACACATTACATACAGATGTTCTGGAAAGGAAGCCATCAAAACTGAGCAATGCAGTTAAATAAGTAACCATGAGTGTGAGAGTCAATTATAGAATTTGAATTAACTCTCTCTTACCAGTACACATTCACAGTAACTCTGCTGTTTGCAGCACAGTCCCTTCAGGCATAAAAAAGTACCACACACTAGGCAAACAGCAGGGTCTTTAGGAACCTTGGTACAAACAGTACAAGTCTTTCTGTGGTAATACTGAAAAATGGTATTGTAATTGTCAGGCAACTGAAGGAGGCGCGGCAAGTCCCACTTGGGCTCCTGGATAAGCAAAGCCTACAGAAGACAAGAAAAATGTATCAGTTCTGCACATTCATTTACACACTTATCTTTTCTAAGGGAAGAGAATACCAAAGAAAGGAAGCATGCAGTTAAAAAAAAAAAAAAATCATCTCTCACTGCTTCTGCACTTCACAAATTTAGAAGTCCAAAGTCACCTTGCAATAGTCACCTGTCTCTGGCTAAACAGCCTCCCCAGCTGTTGTCACATTTCATCTTTTCTAACGGCTGCAAAATGGGCACTAGCCTTCTCCCAAGGCCGTTTTCTAAACATGACATTTTTAAGCACCAAAATCTCCCTAGTCAAAACAAGAGGATTAAGAGTGATCTACAGGGAAGACTCCTACTCACTACACCGTTACCTTGGCAACATCACCACACTGGTGCCAAACCTCCCATACTGACCAAAAAGCTGTCTCCTATTAAACAGCTTTTATTCCTTTGATATTTTTCACTATTGCAACTGAAGATGCTCAAAAATACCATTAGTGTCTAACTGGCAAGAAGGACTTCCGATAAGAAATTTCTTAACAGACAGTTTCTCTTACGTGCCTTTGGCTGGCTTCAGGTGCAGAAGGTATGGGTACACTTAGTATCATCTAAAGATAGCGCCTCTATTTTCTGTCTCCAGCAATCATATAAAAACTAGACAGGTTTTCTTATTCCTGTTTTTAACCGATCCAACCCACATCCACTAACTAACATTTCTGATTACAATTTCTCATGTACAAGTCAGGTTCTCAGATCCTTATCCAAACAACAGGGGATGTGCATAGTGAATCAAGCAAGAAAGAGCTGCTTCCACATCGTGACTGTTTCTGAAAAAGTAATTTTGCTACATACCTTTACTTGATCTGGATGTCTATCTGCAAATGAAGTCAATTCGGAGCACCACTGTGATATCATGTCAAAAGCTGGCACTGGCCAGTCAAGACAAGAGGCACTGGTGAACTGATGAGCTGACTGAAAAGATGGCAATAGTCCCAGGCAGCTCGCAAGAACTGTGAATTCTTCATCTTCCTTTTAGGTATGAAACCAGAGAGAGGTTTAGATTAATACCTACACTCTGAATTTTTAAATAGTTTATTAAAATATACCTATTCCAATAAAAACAGTAAAGATGCTCTAGTACAATGATGCTAATAGTCATGTTGAGAGACACAGAAAAGCTTCCATTTCTTCCAGATTACCTCAGACTGGATTCTCAAAATAAAAAAGGTCCAAATTAAAAAAAAAAAAAACAACCAAAACAAAACAAACCACAAACAACCAAACGAAAGTAGCCCCAAACCAAAACAAACTTGCACAAACAACCCCCAAACCAAACCCCATACAAACCCACAAATCTAAAAACCACAAACAAAAAAGAAACGCCAAGCTCCACAACGATTTTCTTCACGTTTAGTACCCCAGTCTGGCTTGTAGCTGCTTTAGAGATGAGATGATTCTGAGGAAAGGAAACAAGGGAGCTGACCTACAGCAAACTACTTAAATCCATCCTGGAACTCAAACATAATTGTTCATTGATGCAATGTCCCTGAGAGTAAAGTCCAAGTATTTACAGGCATTAAGCAAAATCAGGACTGAATTCCAGCTGTGTGGGAATTATGGCATCTCTGCAAATGCCCAACAAGTTTTTAATGTTGGTATTTTATGAGACAGGCATCTATGACCTAATAAAATAAACATGTATTTGCTGAATTCTAAGAATAGAGTACCATTTTTCAGGGAAACTGCCTTGAAAATACACGTGTGGAAGAGAAATAATGCTGCAGAGCAGAGCTATAAAATATGGTTTAAAAAATAAATAAATCTTAGGATAGAAAATACATTACCATGAAAAAGACACCTTAAGAGTCCAAGTTTTTATCTCTAGTTTTTAAATGGAAACATTTGAGTGTGCCCCTTAATCTGTACCTGGCAACTAGGTAAATCCCCTCCAAAAAGATGGTGTTGAAGAAGGCTTGTGATCCTGAGGAAAGGCAGGCAGAACTGCTGCAGATAACACTCTACAGAATCGGGAGTCACCTGCGGGGGAAGGCAGCAATTACTGAATTCTGCCCCAGATAAGCTGTCTCCTATACAAGAAACTCCGATAACAACCAAATGGTTTTTAAGCATACTGTATAAACTACTGCATCAAACATATATTCCAAAGACCAGCATTTCACTGATAATCTGAAGGAACACTGTGGGATCTTTTTCCCCCTCGACAAGTGTTTTTTCTACTTAAGTATTCAGTTTTCAAGTTTCTGAAAGGTCATTCGTAGATAAGATTAAAACCCACAGTTCTAAGAAGTATTTGTCAATAACTATCTCAACACAGACCTGGCCATGTACGATGTTAGTGAAAGAAAGATTTGCCCAGGCAAACTGTCCCAAAGGGATGGGCTTTGATCTAGAAAATAAAGAGTTGTACTACAGTCTTCATAATGATTTTTCTCTGATCTTGCTAACAACGAGGCTGAAACACTTAAATAAGAGGCAGAAAGGGGACATGCTGGATAAACTCTCAAGAGATCTGCCAATACCGCTGTTAATTCTTCAGTCTCTCCTTCTTCATATATCTTCCCCTTAGACAGCTCACTGATCACATGGCCCAACAATATTTCCCAAGATTTTTCTCCACTGGATGTATTCTGCAAATAAGAAGGAAAGAAACCCAAAATGCATTGCTGAGGAAAAGGCGAAAGAGTTCCTGTGAAAGTAACAGTGATAAAGTTCACTTACTTTTGATCAACACACGCATTTTGACCTACAAAGACACACACTGTTTAAAAACAAAGCGAACCAAAAGAAATTCTACCGACAGGGAATGCATTTAGCTCAGAGCGCAACATTAATTGCCACTTCCATTATGTATGTTCTGAACGAGTGCCATATGAAAACACCTTGATAGTGCTGCATTTCCCACACTTTTTCTGTGAGCATAAAAATGCTTGCTCTAAAGTTAGGCAGAATCATTTAATAGATACATCGTGTTTTGACAAAATTTGAATTCTAGTACAACTAATAAAAAAAAGTAATTTTCTAAAAGTTACCAAGCAGAATGCATTACAAACCCCTTGCTATGTATATTGGTTAAAATGAGTCTGTCAGAAAATGGGAAGTTGTATCTGGAATGAACAATATCTACTGCAGAGGGGAAAGAAAACTTAGTGGAAAGAATAAATAGCCACTTTGCCTTTAAATGTAAATGCTGTGGCCAAAGCTATTATTATAGAAAGCCATCAGAAACAGCAGTATTCCCATAAATATTTTTAAGTCATAATAAATTCTACCCAGAACCTGACTGGATGTGAATTTTCAGCTGCGTTAGTGTATCATAAATATAACGATGAGGGAGTGGAATGTTACTGGGAATCTTTAAAAAAATTCCAAAGAAACGACATGAGATTAAGCATATAAAGACTTCTGTATGTAACCATATGCATATAATTGATCAGTTGGTTTAATTAGTGCATTTTGACATGAATTATAATTGTTCATTTTAGATGGGGTCTTCATCAGCACTGGGAAAGCAGACTTGCTGCTTATGCTCAGTCTATGAACCAGAAGGCAACACACACTTATATTGGCAGTTAGGACAAACCTTTCACCTACATTACTCCTGGAAGTTTACTCCACAGGTATTTACAGTGCTTCTTGTGACACCATAAGGCAGCTTGCAAAGATAATGAGAGTGAACTTGGGAATCAAGAGCAGAATATCCACCTCACAACCCTGCTGAGAATTTAAATTCTTGATCATTTGGCATAAATACAGAGGAAAGACTTCCACTCATGTTTAATGTCTGAAGTACCAAACTGAAATAGGTTTGCTTGGCATTATCGACAGACAAAAGTAAGGTGTGATCTGTGTAGTCATCCCGGGATCACAATGTCAGTATTACCAGCACATAAGAAGCAGCCAGCCCAAGCCATACATTTTAAACCATTTAGGCCTCAAGAAACCTTAAAAGAAAGAACCTGAATTCCTAAAATAAAAACCAGCTTCCCTTAAGACACAGAATCACAGAATGGT